AGGCTAAGACCTCACTAAAAATGAGGTCAACAAGCCCACATCAAACTAATTTTGAAAATTTAAAATTCTAGTTGGGTATGATTGACGTGTGCTACTACCCAACTCTAGGTGTTTTGATTTCCAGTCCTTCACCATGAGGAATTCTGGCTGCTACTATGAGTTGAAGCACTAGACATTCTTGAAAATGGAAGTAACTGTTTCTGCGCCTGCTGTTGTGTATTTAAGATGTACTGAACTATAATTTTTTAATTCTACTAAATCTTAATGAGTCTTAATGGGATAAGTTTACTGGCAGCGGAAAACTGCAATTACGTAAAATATTTTTATACTTACATTGCCATATAATGCTAGTTATGAAAGCCATTTTATTATAAAAATTTGAGTTTAAATCTCAAACTAGTCTTTTGATTGTTTTTATGTGGCCAATTTAGGCCCAGGGTATCACATTTCTCCACTTTAGTCTTTCACCTATAGTAAATGATCTGACATGATTCCTTATGTGAAAATTGTGATATAGAATTGATCTCAATTTAGTCCATTGATTATACAAAAATAATTTCAATTTAGTCTATTAAGATATTCTTTTGGATTTGTTTTGTTTAATCCTATGATTAAATTGGATAAATGTGATATTTTGGGATAAAATTAGCCACATATGAATAACCGGAGGATTACCTTGAGATTTAACCCCTAATATTTTTCGCCCTTCTATGTTGTTACTAGGAGGCATGAATATGGGAAGAAAAAGCCTATGTGACATTTTCATTTAACAAAATCATGCTCTCTTGTTTGGTTTGTTTTTCTCATAAAATAAATATAATTTCCCAATTGTTCTTCATATTTGTTTTTTTTTATTTGCATATTGCCATAGCACGTTGCATATTGTCATTTTAGGATTTGAATACATTTCTTGGCCGAGCATAGACGCATCTTGTTACTTAATGCTTCCCCATGAATTTTACTTTTTATCTATTTTATGGGCATATATTCAACCTTCCATTGTGTATGCTCAAATAACTTCTTCCTATCTGTCTCATCTAACTTTTTAATTTTTTTATGCTCAAATTTTTTGAAAATGACTTCTTCGTACGCTTATACTGGAATTTACATAGTGTTGTTTATAAACACAAATCTATCACAATTTTATCCGTAATCCTTTATGACTCATTTCTAAGATTGGTCTCAACTAAAATCAAAATATCAAGCTTATTCTTTTATTGGCAATTCGTTATGTGATATTGTATTGTGAGTTGAGATTTGCATGAATTTTAAATTGGTTTTCAAATGAATTTTTTATGATATGCGGAAAGGTACATGGCTATCATTTAAGCTCACTTTAGTGTTTGAATGATTTTATGAAGGGCTATAGTGTCACACAACTTGGCAAGGGGCTTGGGATTACTAAGATGGGAATGAAAGGTTGGACTGTAGAGACATATTATTCTTAAAATTTAAGGCAAAAAATATTATCTAGACAATTAAGTTTTTAAACATCAATATTTCTAAATCATACCCAACTTGCACACATATATATCAACTTTGCGACAATAACTTCAGTGAATAATCTTAAAGCAAGAGAAAATTTATTTTTTGTATCTTACTCCTCTATTTATGTATGTCCCTCATGTCAGTCCGTCAATTTATATGAGTTTGTTCGCCCGCCCTAGAGCTTGGAATATCAAGGTAGAAACGAACGATCAGAATAAAGAAAACTATCTAAATAATTCTATTTCTTA